AGGAAAGGCATAAATGTCCTAGGTCTTAATCGGGCCCGTAGGTAATAGGGTCCAGTTTGGGAAGCAAATATAGTCTTACATCATACAGGTCTTATGATATATTATACATAAGCTAGAGCCATATTTCAGATTATACTTTAGTTCTAGATTTGTATTGTATGATGTTTTTGTTTTTAATTTAGATCAAAACGCTTCACTATCTCACTCACTCCTCTGTTTCTCTCCTTTTTAATTCCCTTGTGACCCCCTGCCTACCTCCTCCTCACCCCTCCCTTCCAATCCTCACCCCTCCCTCCCTCCCCATTCTCACCCATCCCTCTCCCCTCCGTCCTACCCCTTTCTTCTTCCACATCGCCCCTCTACCTCCCCCTCCTCTCTCCTCTACCTCCCCTCACTCCCCCTTCCTCCTCCCTCTCCCCTCCCTCATCCTCCCTCTACCTCCCCTCACACCTCCCTCACTCTCCCTCCACACCCCTCCCTCTCCCCTCCCTGCTCTCCGCTCCCCCTCCTCCTCACCCCTACAGCCTTTGTCAAGCACATCATGTCTATTTAAGGATCCTCCGGCTGCAGTGGCTAACGAGGAAGCTAACATGTTATCTGCAGACCCAATGGTGTCAGGACATCCAGTCCCCACTGTTAGTCAACCACCACCTGAGAAACAGACAGGGGGATAAAGGACTATGAGATGTCATTTCTAAACCGTTTTTTTTTTTTTTCATTCTTTTTTTTTGGTCCGACTCCGACCTTCGACTCTCTGCTCTCTATTCTCCTCCATTAGAAGCTGTCATTTTTTTTCTCCAGCCAACCGGCAGATGCTCTTGTTGTCTTGTCCCCCACCATCTTGGCGGGGTATGCCTCTCCACCGTGGGTTGGTGGATGCCTCTCCACCGTGGGTCAGTGAGGGAAAGAAGGTAGGGATGAGCTACCCATTCCATCCCTTACTTGCTGCCTGGATTGGGCCAGTAGAGGTGACTGGCTTTGCTCAGGACTGGCCATCAAAACTCACTCTCCCCTATCTATCCCCTAAGTCTTAATTAATTTTTCTCCTCTGCTATTTCACATAATAAACTTTTCAAAAACCCTCCGGTGTCGCGGCTCTTATTCTTTGCTCTGCGGGAGAGTGCGGAGAGTGAGGCTGTATCCCAAATGGCACTCTAATCCCTATATAGTGCACCACCTTTGACTAGAGCCCAATAGGGTGCCATTTGGGACCCAACCTGAGTGTAGCTATAGGGGAGAGGTGAAAACAGACAAACACTGATGGTGGCCTAGCAGCCTAAATGATTGTATTCTTGTTGCCTTAAAACATGCTTAAATCTCTTTCTTTAAGTATAATCCCCCACACAACATTATAGGTGGTAACTATGAATTCCAAAAAGTTTGGAAATACTCACGACGAGAGTGTTTTCATTGTTTTTATTGTCTTTAATTGTTAAGAGCATTTTGTTATCAGTATCATATCAACAGGAGAAAAACTGCGTACATCTACTTTTAATTACATTTACAGTTGCTGTAGGTTGGGATAGAGGATAGGGGATAGGGGTAGGGGATAAGGTTAGGGGATAGGGGGTAGGGGGTAGGGGATAAGGGGTAGGGGATAGGGGTAGAGGATGGGGATAGGGGATAGGGATAAGGGATAGGGGATGGGGGAGAAGATAGGGGATAGGGGTAGGGGATAGGGGATAGGGGGTTAGTTGGTAGAGCATAGGGGATAGGAGATAGGGATAGGGGGATAGGGTTAGAGGATAGGGGATAGTGGATAGGGGTAGAGGATAGGGGATAGGGGTAGAGGATGGGGGATAGGGGATAGGGATAAGGGATAGGGGATGGGGGAGAAGATAGGGGATAGGGGATAGGGGTAGATGATAGGGGGTTAGTTGGTAGAGCATAGGGGATAGGAGATAGGGATAGGGGATAGGGTTAGAGGATAGGGGGATAGTGGATAGGGGATAGGGGATAGGGGATAGGGGATAGGGGATAGGGGATAGGGGATAGAGGATAGGGGATAGGGGATAGGGGATAGGGGATAGGGGATAGAGGATAGGGGATAGGGGATAGGGGATAGGGGATAGGGGATAGGGGATAGGGGATAGGGGATAGGGTTAGAGGATAGGGGATAGGGGATAGGGGATAGGGGATAGAGGATAGGGGATAGGGGATAGGGGATAGGGGATAGGGGATAGGGGATAGGGGTAGATGATAGGGGGTTAGTTGGTAGAGCATAGGGGATAGGAGATAGGGATAGGGGATAGGGTTAGAGGATAGGGGATAGGGGATAGGGGGATAGGGGTTAGAGGATAGGGGATAGGGGATAGGGGATAGGGGATAGGGGATAGGGGATAGGGGATAGGGGATAGGGGATAGAGGATAGGGGATAGGGGATAGGGGATAGGGGATAGGGGATAGGAGATAGGGGTAGAGGATAGGGGTATAGGATAGGGGGTTAGTGGGTAGGGGATAGGGGGATGCAGAAAGAACACAGAAGCAAACATTAATCCTAAAAGAAGGAGGAATACATACCACAAAATGGCGACAGAAAAAATATAGAGGAACACATTATCAAACAGATGCAACATGACTTGTTGAGTTTCCTTTTTTTAAAGTTTGTTTTTATGAAATGTAGTTTTATTCATTTTCCCCCTTTTTTTTTCCCCCCTAAATGTTTTACACAAAACAAACTTAGCATCCAGAAGTGAACTGTAGAGACACAGGGTCCAGAGTTCCACAGCTGCTTCCTAAATGTAATCTTTAAATAATAGTCATAGCTTTATCCACAATATGGTTCAGACAACTGCAAGCCCTCTTGTGTTCATTCTCAGCCTGCTCTGAGAGCCTTAGGTTGTTCATCGAACACTATGGACTAAAAGATCTTACAGCCATCCAATGCCTATTGCTAGCATGGTGAATGGATGGGGATCACAGCTTCTGTGAGCTCCTAGCTATATCAACGTTTCTTTTGGACTGAGATATTTGAGATGAGAATCAAAGCAGCATCCTCTTAAACTAAACTAGGACTGGCTAACCAGACTTTTAGAAGAACAACTCCCAGAGAGAGAGAGTAGCATTGGTTAGTAATCTGTAATTAAAATAAGCCTTGTCCGAGCCAGAATGGCCCATAGGGGCAGGACCTTATCTCCTGTTTCTGTAATGGGAGGCAGCTTGATGTACACCCCCAGGACAGGGCGCTAGTCATTCGCAGGGCCTTTAGTACTCTGTTGCAGGCATGGAAGATGCACTCCTTAGCAATACCAGCACGGTTGTCTGAAGTCAACTTCAACAAGCATAACATACCAGTCAACTAATATCTACAAAAACATGAAGTGTTAATATTTCTAGCCAATGATTCAGGAAATAACTTACTAAAATCATTTTATTTGAAATAGAAAATAGCCTCTTTTTGTAACTAGAATCAATACATGCTCATCATACCATTATCTAGTTCTTGAAATAATGCAATTTTACAGGTATAAGTTATACTTATAGGACTAATCACTTTTTTTTAATTGTTTTTTTGAAGAGATGTTGCAGACAAAGAGCTGGTATATTTATACATATGTTCAATATATATTGTTTATATATTTATTATATATTGGATGTGGGACTAGCTGCAAGGATGCTTGAAGTATGGTGAATGTTGAGTCTGGCGTCCATGCACTTTACTGAGCAAAACAAGATGTGCTGGCGGCATGGCATGGGTAGAGTACTGTATCGGCATGGCCACGTAACTTCCTACCTAGTGTAAGAAAAGGCTGCTCCTAAGAACTGAACAGAGACCAGCCCACCCTATACCTGGCCCATACCCAGATTATATGTTGTGCAAAAAGCTGATCTTGGGTCAGTGCTTGGACACTATCTATCTATCTATCTATCTATCTATCTATCTATCTATCTATCTATCTATCTATCTATCTATCTATCTATCTATCTATCTATCTATCTATCTATCTATCTATCTATCTATCTATCTATCTATCTATCTATCTATCTATCTATCTATCTATCTATCTATACGCAGCATTAAAGAAATACACCAGATAAAAGATGGAGAAAAAAAGTACAGGTACTTGGAATGGAAATATCAACAAACAATTGACCAAAAGTACCTTCTAAATAGTCTCTAGTTCCATTAGGGTTGTTGTTTTTTCTTAATTTGTCTTGTTGACATAGGGTGGGGTAGGCAGCTCCATCAGGCGGTGAGTATGAGGCTGCTGTAGGATGGGGGGGGGGGGGGGGGGGGGGTCTTGGTGTCTGGGCTGGGGTTGACGAGAGGCCTGGGACAGGGTGAGGGAGTCTGGGTGGGTGGACTGAAGGCAGGATGGGAAGAGAGTGTCCAGGGCCTGGAATGGACAGGAGGCAGGGTGGGATCAGGTTGTCCAGGGTCTGGGATTGACAGGAGCTAGGGTGGAGGCAGGGTGGGGTAAGGGTGTCCAGGGTCTGGGATTGACAGGAGCTAGGGTGGAGGCAGGGTGGGGTAAGGGTGTCCAGGGCCTGGGATAGACGAGAGGCATGTTTGGGATGGACCGCATGGTAGGTAGCAGGGAAGGGTAGAGGCTGGGTGGAGGCAGAAGAAAGGTGTCCAGGGGCAGAGTGGGGTTGAGGCAGGGTGGGGTTGAGGCAGGGTGGGGTTGAGGCAGAGATTTGTGTGGGCTGTCTGGTACCCAAGGCTGGGGGTGGACTGGAGGGAGATTGGAGGCTGGGTGGAGGCATGATGAGGGAGCCTGGGCTGGACTAAAGACAAGTGAGGGAGTCCAAGGCTTGGGGTCAGGTTGAACTGGAGGCAAGCTGAGGGTGTCAGGAGTCTGGGATCAGTCGTCTGGAGGCAGGGGGAAGGTGTCCGGGGCTGGGGTGGACTGGAGGCAGGGGGAAGGTGTCCGGGGCTGGGGTGGACTGGAGGCAGGGGGAAGGGGGAAGGTGTCCGGGGCTGGGGTGGACTGGAGGGAGACTGGAGGCAGGGTGGGGGTCAAGAGATCCGGTGCCTGGGCTGAGGGGGGTCAAGGCGCTCACAAGCCCTGCTTGGCCAGGGCGGCGGTGACGTCTTCAGCTAGAGTGGCTAGCTGTGGAGACTCCAGCAAGTTGATGCTGCCAGAGGAGGACAGGTGGCTGTCGCGGTGGGGAGACACCGTCCCTGACATGCCCGTTTCCGGAGACTGGGTCACGATGATCTCCGCCCCGTGGTCCACCCGGGCCTTGGCCGTATCACGGAACAACAGCTTGTGGCTTTCGATCTACAGGGAGTTAGGGTGGGTGAGATAGGCGAGGGGTAAAATACCTACAAGGTGGGGGTACAAAAACCCACACACGCCCAATCACACACGGGGGTGATTAACGTAAAACCCCAAACTAAAGGGGATGGTTCAGGGTGCAACCTTGGGGGGATTTTTTGAGACTGATGTCCGATGATCAGGTGTGCATCCCAAAAGCACCTTATTTTTTTTAAAAAGCCTAAACCAGGGTTTGGGGTTTAAAGGGAAAAATCCCGTCTTTGGGCGCGAAATTTGGGTAGAAAGATGAGGGAAAAAAGGGCCCCACCGGGGTTTGGGGTGAATTTAGGGCCCCCTTGGGGGGGGAAAAGTAGAAAAAAGGCACGAATTTAGGGAGGGAAAAAGGGGGGGGGGAGGGAAAGGAAGGGGAAAAAAGGAAAAAGAAAAAAAGAAAAAAGAAAAAGAGAAGAATGAGAAGAGAGAAAAGAGAAGAAGAAAAGAAGAAGAAGAAGAAGAAGAAGAAGAAAGAAGAAGAAGAAGAAGAAGAAGAGACTTCAAGACAGGAATGTATTAACCGGTAAGTGAAGTGCAATATCCTCTTGGATATCCTCCCATTCATTTGTTCCAATACATCATTATAATTTATTATCAATAATTAGTCAAACCGATTATAAGACTGACTAGGCAGACCCTTATTCCTTATCAGGAGCCCCATTAGCTGTTGCCATGACTACAGCTAGTCTTCCTGGGGTCCATATCCTGCAGATATATCTGTCGTTTAAAATGTAATGTAATAGTTGCTTTGGAAATGTATCATTACCTCTAGGATGCAGGGTGAGTGTCGCAGTGTGAATGTATTATTGGACAGAAGCTGATAATCAGTATGACCACGAGATGGCGGTGTAGGACTCTGACGCAGTAGTCATCACCACTATCTCAAAGCAGGGGGGATTTTTCCGCATCACACAGCACACATGAGATCCTCTCACTGTATGGAAGCATCCCAAATGGCTCCTTATTCCCTATAGTGCACACATTTTGACTAGAGCCCATACCCATAGGTCTCTGGTCAAAAGTAGTGCATTATTCAGGGAATAGGGTGGCATTTGGGACATATCCTATGATGCTCTCTCACTCGTTTCCTTTATCTACAGTAAGGTAAAGGTCTAATTCCTATACAAGCCCACCATGGTCCTAGTGTGTTGTGGATACACTGTAAGCTCCCATATCTCTCAATTGTCAGTGTGGGGTGACCCAGGTAGATTATGATTGAGATCAACTTTGAGCCTTTTTACACACAGCTAGTTTGAAACCGTTGTCGAAGAGACGTCTTGCCCTCGACTACACATATTTTTGTAGTGTAAAGAGACATATCTGCAGCTGGCATCAAATCAGACGCCGGAATCAGATTGCCAAGCCACCTCCGTACACACAGTCTACAGGAAGTTTGGGTAGGTTACCTGGCCGGTGGCGGATGTTGTCCAGCGATCCACACTTGGAGGTCACGTGACTCAGGTCAATCTTCTTGGTCTGAATCTGCACCTGTGGGTATGATCTGTTTTAGTTTGCCCAGTCTGGTCATTTCTACCCATTAACCCATTGTCCAACCAAGGAGGATCAAAAGGCTGAGAGTCAATAACTCAGAATCATGGTGTGTTGCTCTCCACAATCCTAGCAATATCTAATATCTACTGCTAATATCAAGTACAACATCTACTGTTATTATGCCTAACGAGAACCCTCAGGTTCAGTTATGAAGATCTGAAAAGACAATACAAGTGCACATTCAGAATATTAGCCAATAAAAACACCCATTCAGAATATTAGCCATAGAATATTGGCCAATAAAAACACACATTCAGAATATTAGCCATAGAATATTAGCCAATAAAAATGCACATTCAGAATATTAGCCATAGAATATTAGCCAATAGAAATACACATTCAGAATTAGCAAGAAAGAGAGAAAGACAGAAGGAATAAATTATGCAAACAACCAAAAGGCACAGCAACTACAGACTGAGTAAGTAAGTGAGTGAGTGAGTGATTGAGTGAGTGAGTGATTGAGTGAGTGAGTGAGTGAGTGGGAAGCAAGCACAACAGAAGCATATGCATTAGACAACTGACAGTGACAAATCAAGAAACATAGGAAAAATAAGAGATTTATCCGTCAAGATTATTTAATAGAACATGCCTACTGTGTGGTCTACCATCAATGTAAATGTTTTATAATCGTGTACAGTGCCTTCAGAAAGTATTCACACCCTTTGACTTTTTCCACATTTTGTTGTGTTACAAAGTGGAATTAAATTTGATTTAATTGTCATGTTTTTTGTCAACGATCTACACAAAACACTGTAATGTTTAACATTTGTAAAAACTAAAAAAGAATATATCTTGATTATATAAGTATTCAACCCCCTGAGTCAATACATGTTAGAATCACCTTTGGCAGTGATTACAGATGTGAGTCTTTCTGGGTAAGTCTCTAAGAGCTTTGCACACCTGGATTGTACAATATTTGCACATTATTCTTCCAAAAATGATTCAAGCGCTGTCATGTTGCTTGTTGATCATTGCTAGACAGCCATTTTCAAGTCTTGCCATAGATTTTCAAGCTGATTTAAGTCAAAATTGTAACTAGGCCACTCAGGAACATTCAATGTTGTCTTGGTAAGCAACTCCAGAGTACAGTGCATTCGGAAAGTTTTAAGACACCTTGGCTTTTTCCACATTTTTTTATGTTACAGCCTTATTCTAAAATTGATTAAATAGTTATTTTTCCTCATCAATCTACACACAATACCCCATAATGACAAAGCAAAAACAGGTTTTTAGAATTGTTTGAAAAAAAAAAAAGATGTTAAATATCACATTTATATAAGTATTCAGACCCTTTACTCAGTACTTTGTTGAAGCACCTTTGGCAGGGATTAAAGCATCAAGTCTTCTTGGGTATGATGCTACAAGCTTGGCACACCTATATTTGGGGAGTTTCTCCTATTCTTCTCTGCTGATCTTCTCAAGCTCTGTCAGGTTGGATGGGGAGTGTCGCTGCACAGCTATTTTCAGGTCTCTCCAGAGATGTTCGACCAGGTTCCAGTCCGGGCTTTGGCTGGACTACTCAAGAACATTCAGAGACTTGTCCTGAAGCCACTCCTGCGTTGTCTTGGCTGTGTGCTTAGGGTCGTTGTCCTGTTGGAAGGTGTACCATCGCCCCAGTCTGAGGTCCAGAGCAACCTGGAGCAGGTTTTCATCAAGGATCTCTCTGTACTTCGCTCCGTTCGTCTTTCCCTCGATCCTGACTAGTCTCCCAGTCCCTGCCTCTGAAAAACATCCCAACAAATTGATGCTGCCACGACCATGCTTCACCGTAGGGATGGTGCCAGGTTTCCTCCAGACGTGACGCTGGGCATTCAGGCCAAAGAGTTCAATCTTGGTTTCATCAGACCAGATAAACTTGTTTCTCATTGTCTGAAAGTCCTTTAGGTGCCTTTTGGCAAACTCCAAGCGGGCTATGTGCCTTTTACTGAGGAGTGGTTTCCTCTGGCCACTCTACCATAACGACCTGATTGGTGGAGCGCTGAAGAGATGGTTGTCCTTCTGGAAGGTTCTGCCATCTCCACAGAGGAACTCTGGAGCTCTGTCAGAGTGACCATCGGGTTCTTGGTCACCTCCCTCACCAAGGCCTTTCTCCCCCAATTGCTCAGTTTGGCTGGGCGGCAAGCTCTAGGAAGAGTCTTGGTGGTTCCAAACTTCTTCCATTTAAGAATGATGGAGGTCACTGTGTTCTTGGGGACCTTCAATCCTGCAGAAATGTTTTGATAACCTTCCCCAGATCTGTGCCTCAACACAATCCTGTTTTGGAGCTCTACGGCTTTGTTTTTGCTCTGACATGCACTGTCAACTGTGGGACCTTACATAGACAGGTGTGTGCCTTTCCAAATCATGTCCAATCAGTTGAATTTACCACAGGGTGACTCCAGTCAAGTTGTAGAAACATCTCAAGGATGATCAATGTAAACAGGATGCACCTGAGCTCAATTTCGAGTCTCATAGCAAAGGGTCTGAATATTTATGTAAATAAGGTATTTCTGTTTTTAATTTGTAATACATGTACAAAAATGTCTAAAAACCTGTTCTCGCTTTGTCATTATGGGGTATTGTGTGTAGATTGACGAGGATAAAAAAAGTTAAAAATAAAAATAGTATAAGGCTGTAACGTAACAAAATGTAGAAAAAGTAAAGGGGTCTGAATACTTTCCGAATGCACTGTATATTTGGCCTTGTGTTTTAGGTTATTGTCCTGCTGAAAGGTGAATTTGTCTTCCAGTGTCTGGTGTAAAGCAGACTGAACCAGGTTTTCCTCTAAGATTTTGCCTGTGCTTAGCTCTATTCCGTGTCTTTTTATCCTAAAAAACTCCATAGTCCTTGCCGATGACGAGCATACCCATAAAATGATGCAACCACCACCATGCTTGAAAATATGAAGAGTGGTACTCAGTGATGTGCTGGACTTTCCCCAAACATAATGGTTTGTATTCAGGACTTAAAGTTAATTTCTTTGCCACATTCTTTGCAGTTTTACTTTAGTGCCTTATTGCAAACAAGATGCATGTTTTGGAATATTTTTATTCTGTACAGGCTTCTTTCTTTTCACTCTGTCAATTAGGTTAGTATTGTGGAGTGACTACAATGTTGTTGATCCATCCTCAGTTTTCTCCTTTCACAGTCATTAAACTCTGTAACTGTTTTCTTTGCGAGACATTGGAAAACCTTCCTGGTTTTGTCGTTGAATCTGTGTTTGAAATTCACTGCTCAACTGTGGGACCGTACAGATAATTGTATGTGTGGTGTACAGAGATGAGGTAGTCATTCAAAAATCATGTTAAACCCTATTATTGCACACAGAGTGAGTCCATGCAACTTATTATGTGACTTGTTAAGCACATGTTTACTCCTGAACATATTTAGGCTTGCCATAACAAAGGGGTTGAATACTTATTGACCCAAGACATTTCAGCTTCTCATTTTTAATTTGAGAAAAAATATATAAATATATAATTCCACTTTGACATTTTGGGGTATTGTGTGTAGGCCAGCAACACAACATTTCAATTTAATCAATTTTAAATGCAGGCTATAACACAACAAAATGGAAAAAGTAAAGGGGTGTGAATACTTTCTGAAGGAACTGTATATGCTTAGGTTTGTAACAGTATCTGATAGAAACTATACCCTCCCTAACCATGCAGAATGCTAGTGAACATGTTGAGAAAGATGGAGCTGTGGTTTGTGTCAGTGAAAAAAAGGTTGTGAATTGGGTGGCCTCTCCATAACTAATCTATCCATCTATCTTTTAATTTTCATAAGTGGGGTTTGAGAGAGAGGGAGGTGAGAGAGATAGCCAACGTTCAAGTTCAACCTTTTTCCCCTCCAAGAAACAGAAAGCACAGCCATAAAGGACTAAATAGGGAATAGGGTGTCATTTGAGACGTTATACACAGTCTGGGACTGGGATAGGAACCATGCAGTCCCCAGTCCTGCGTCTCCCCTGAACTCTGACTGGCGAGTGGTGTTGTGTGTGTAGAGAGAGAGAGAGCGAGAGAGAGAGAGAGAGAGAGAGAGAGAGAGAAGAGAGATAGAGGAGAGAGAGAGAGAGAGTATAGATAGATAGGATAGAGCGAGAGAGATAGAGAGAGAGAGAGGAGAGAGCGCGAGTAGGAGGTGTGAGTGTGCGCGAGATATAGATATAGAGTGAGCTCTCTCTCTGCGCTTCGCTCTCCTCTCGTCCTTCCCTCGCGCACTTCTCGCGCTCGCCTCCTCGCTCTCTCCCGCTCTCTCTCCTGCGCTCTCTCTCACTTTCTCCCGCTCTCTCCTCTCTCCTCGCCCCCTCTCGCTCCTTTTTCCCCCCCCCCCTCCCCCTTCCCCCCCGTTCCCCCCGGGGTTCCCCCCTTTTTCCCCCGGCCCCTTTTTTTCCCCCCCCCCCCCCGGGGGGTGTGTTTGGGGGGGAAACGTCCCTGTTTGGTAAGAGACTCCCCTTTTTCCCCCCCCTCAGATACTGTCTTTTTTCCAGGGAGCCACACCTAACTAACTGGCAAAGTCCATTTTTAAAAACTGGGATAAACAACCCTTTAATCGGGGAAAAGTTTTATATAACGTTTATTCATTTTATATCATAGACTGAAGGTGGGGCGGGAGAGGATTGGGTTGTGACACAAGCTCTCCCAAAACTCACAAACAGCTTCCCCACTTTTTACCTCTTCCAAAACCCTCGGGAAACTTTCCTTTGGTTTTGAATTCCATTTTAATTCAGTCAATTGTCGAAGAGGAAAATGTCAGTTTAATTCCGAATTGATTGAATTGAAATGGAATTAAACACACCACTGATCATCTCTGACATCAGACACTTCTTACTTCCCCATGGCTACCAAAATCATGGTCATTACATCTTTACCAAAATCATGGTCATTACATCTTTACAGGTAGAAAATATCAGCAAAGAGAGACCTTGGGAAGATCTCAATTGCATACTCCTCGAATCCTCTCTCCTC